TAGAAAAAATACATAATTATTGTTTGCTCCAGAAATTTCAGAATTTCAAATTATTGGAAGGATGTAGATATTTTCGTTTGAGCAACCAAGCATCTCTGATAAATGGTTTTGAAATTTACGTTCGCTTTAGTTCACAATTCTCTAATGGTATATGTTGGAACATAATAATTAAATCAAAACTCAATATTACTTTAATAGTGCCTAATTCAATTCTCCTATAAATTTCTATGGCAAATTGCTAACAATATTACAGCTAATTCAAAATTCAAGCTTATATAGCAATATTTATTTTCCTATTTGCCAATCAATTAAAATAGAATAATCGAGGTCGTGATTAAATTACGTAAACAATTAATCCTTCCAATGGAAAACAATCTAGATGCGAGTTCCAGATTTGCATGAAAACAACGTTCACAAAAGCAAACTAAAAACGGTGATATAAATCACGATTCTGTCCCGTAGCATGGTTTGTAAACATCATAAAATTACATAAGTTGAATCGTGTGCTCCACTTAGAAAGTCGTTTTTGTTTGGAACATGGGGCGCACATAAATTTCGAATAAAACAAAATGCAGTTAACCATGAAAACAGAAAAAGGGGTATGAATAATGCTATGGAAAAACTGTTTTCTATTTTTGTTTATGTTGACAAAAAAATTTTGACTAACCTTATCAAGAACATCTTATCATAAATAATGTTCCATAAGATCTATAGCGTTATTTGCCCAGTTTACTCTAAATTCATAATCTGACCCAACATTATTGATTATTTGTTCTAAATGCCTATAAGCAATGAGTGCAGAGTACAAATTCATCTTTTTGTTGTTAATATTTGTGAAGGTTTAGCTGAGTGGTATCAGAAGACTATGTCACAACTCTCTCATTTATCATCAAAATTTTTGGAGAATATAATCGATTCCGATGATTTTTATGTGAAGACTAGCTGACCCGGCGAATTTCGTACCGCCTCTGAATTATTAAATACCTATTAAATGTTGTGTTATCGTATCTATTAGCTGAATTAAATTCAAATTTTTTCGATGGTGAATTTGGCTTTGGTTGAAGAAAGTTAATGTTTACTCTCTGGATCAGAAGTCACCTAAAATTAAAATTTTACATCGTCCTTTTTTTAGGTAGCTTGTGGGCATTATTCTTGTAAAGTGTACCACCAAATAAATAAACTCAGGCACCACAGGAATGTTCAAAGAATGTAAAGAAAACAAAAAAAATCTCCAGCGCAGCCCTGTTTCACTCTATCTGCACCACATGCACTCCATCTGTTCTACTCTATCTGCACTATTCTATTTCTATCTGATCTACTCTTTCTGCACCACTCTATCTGATCCGAAAAGTGGAATAGTTCTGTTCGGAATAGCTCCAGCTCCTGAGCAGCATTGTTCTACTGTATCTGCAATGAAATTACCGCACAACGGCGAGCTTCGTTCTAGGTACCTATCATATATGGCGCCGTATACAAAATGGTTTGCGATGAAAATGTTGCTGTAAACTTGGTATCGGCTATAAGAGATGGCGTCGTATGCGGGCTTAGTGAATTTTTTTCAGAAATAAGTAGAATAAGGGTCAGTTAAGTTAGCCCCTCCCCCCCCAAAGAAAATTTCTGGATGAAAATTATCCCATAATTTTGCTCTAATTTTGCTCCATTTTGCTCCACTAATTTCGATTTTTGCTCCATTACAGTGGAGAGACTATGTGGCCTATTAGGTGGGGGGGGGGGGCTGAATTAACGCTAGCCCCCCCCAGTGAAAATTCAGAAATTTGATCATGCTCATTTTGTTCTCCGAGTTTTGCTCCATTTTGCTCCACTATCGGCGAGCTTTGCTCCATCACCAGGAGAGACCTACAGAGCTCCCAAGAATCTCTCCCAGCCCCCCCCCCCCCCCGGTGAAAATTTTGAAATTTGATCATGCTCATTTTGTTCTCCGAGTTTTGCTCCACTATCGGCGAGTTTTGCTCCATTACTAGGTGAGACCTACAGAGCTTCCAATATTCTGTCCCAGCCCCCCCCCCCGCAGTGAAAATTCTGAAATTTGATCGTGCTCATTTTGTTCTCCGAGTTTTGCTCCATTTTGCTCCATGATCGGCGAGTTTTGCTCCATTACCTGGAATGACCTCTAGGGTGCTTATTCTTGAAACAGGGGAGCAGCGTTTCCATGAGAACGAGTGCTCCGCCTTTGTTGAAGCCCACAGCATGGATCATGACGGACGACGTCTGAAAGGGGAGAGGAAGCCAATGGGACAGAACGCATAGCGACAGATTTTATGAACCTATCAAACCTATCAAAACGATTGAGATATACTTAATAGCCTGTTGACTAGACAAGGACAACAAATAATACGGCCATTATACTCAATGCGCTTTGCACTCAAATGCTTGAAAATCAATTACAGGTGCATCAGGAAAAAGAGGCGAGGAAAATGGGAGTAGCTTCAGAGCGCCTGAGTACCCGAAAGCAGCTCAAGTAATGGAGCAGAACTCGCCGATCATGGAGCAAAACGGAGCGAAACTCGGAGAACGGAATGAATATGATTAAACTAAATTTTCACTGGTGTAGGAGGTGGAAGGGCTAGGAGAGATTCTTAGGAGCGCGTAGTTCATTCCAGGTAATGGAGCAAAACTCGCCGATCATGGAGCAAAATGGAGCAAAATTCGGAGAACAAAATTGCGCATATAGAAACTCCAAAATTTTCACACGTGTTGCAAGGAGAGATTCCTGGGAGCTGTGTAGTTCATTCTAGAGCCGCTTTCAGGTGCAGTGTGCGAAGCACCTGGAGCATTTCAAGCCCATTACACTCAATGCGCTTTGCACTCGAACGCTTGAAAATCATAAAGATGCAGGGGAAACAGGCGAGGAAAGTGAGAGCAGCTTGAGAGCGCCAAACTCTGTTTGCTCGAATGTGTAAAATTGTAGCCGGAGTACTTCGGACTAACTCGAAAGCGCTGAGCGCTCAAAGCGTGGCATCCGAAAACGGCTCGTCATGGAGCAAAACTCGATATAAGTAATTTCAAGTTTCAAAATTTTCACTGGGGGGCAAGAAGAGATTCTTTGGAACTCAAAAGTTCTAATTTAAAATTTTTACCAGGGGGGGGGGCTAGGAAAGATTCCTGGGAGCTCTGTAGATCATTCCTGGTAATGGAGCAAAACTGGCCGATCATGGAGCAAAATGGAGCAAAACTCGGAGAACAAAATGAGCATGATCAAACAGAATTTTCACCAGGTGGGGGGGCTGGGAGAGATTCTTGGGCAGCGTTGCCAATCTAGTACAATTGTACTAGATCTAGTACCTTTTCAAAGAATCTAGTACGTTTGACTTCAAATCTGGTACTTTTTTGTAAAAATTTCGACACATAAATGTTCAGAGTTTTATCAATGCCGTCTCGAACCCTAAACATATTTCGAGAGTGCGTTCACAATAATTATGGTCTTCGGCTATATTTGCCTCTCTTTTCTTTTCTTTTTTCTGAACAAAGAACGAAAACTTCTTTTATAACAACGCTATTAAAACCGTGTTTATAAAAATGTGTGTTGGTATATTATTCCAAAACATACTGGCCGAATTCGTTTTTGTCATCTTTTTCGTCGATTTGCTTCTAAACTTTGACAGGCACGTGATTTGTAAATTGAAACTGTTTTATATCCAGTCACGTGCCTGTCAAAATTTCGGAGCAAATCGACGAAAAAGATGACAAAACTCGGCCATTATAGGCTTTTTTGGAAACGCTCATCCGATAAACCAGTTGATGTTTTGTGTCATTTTTCAGTCGTATTCATCAAAAAGAGATTAAAGATTACTGGTGGTTAATCGGATTAACGTTTGCGAAAAGACCTTATGTTTCCATCTGTAATATGTTTTGAAACCAACCTCATCATAAAAAAGAATTTAGTACATTTTCACGAAGTTTAGTAAATTTTTCATAAAATTTTAGTACGAAACCTGAAAACATTCTGGCAACGTTGTTCTTGGGAGCTCTGTAGGTCTCTCCTGGTGATGGAGCAAAGCTCGCCGATAGTGGAGCAAAATGGAGCAAAACTCGGAGAACAAAATGAGCATGATCAAATTTCAAAATTTTCACCGGGAGGCTGGGAGAGATTCTTGGGAGCTCTGTAGGTCTCTCCTGGTAATGGAGCAAAACTCGCCGATATTGGAGCAAAATGGAGCAAAACTCGGAGAACAAAATGAGCATGATCAAATTTCAAAATTTTCACCGGGGGGGGGGGGGGGGCTGGGAGAGATTCTTGGGAGCTCTGTAGGTCTCTCCTGGTAATGGAGCAAAACTCGCCGATAGTGGAGCAAAATGGAGCAAAACTCGGAGAACAAAATGGGCATGATCAAATTTCTGAATTTTCACTGTGGGGGGCTAGCGTTAATTCAAGCCCCCCCACCTAATAGGCCACATAGTCTCTCCACTGTAATGGAGCAAAAATCGAAATTAGTCGAGCAAAATGGAGCAAAATGAGAGCAAAATTATGGGATAATTTTCATCCAGAAATTTTCTTTGGGGAGGGGGCTAACTTAACTGACCCGTGGAATAAGTAATTTTGTTTTTTGTTTTTGGATTTTTTCGATTTATTATGTTATTAGGGACAAAAACAAATCCAATAAAGCAAAAATCATAAAAATCAGTCCAGCCGTTCGCGAGTTATAAGTAGTAGAACCAACCCAACTCTGTTTTATATATATAGATTGTAGTTTCTAAATAAATTGCTGCACAATATTCCATATTTCCATTTACTTTTATCTTCAATGCGGAAATTTCAACTCAAATACACCACTCAAACATTAAAATTTGAACATCAAAGCTAATGATATGCAAACTCGAAAGTTTTCCCTGAAAAATGTTTGCTTCTTAGTAAAATCCTGTATATCTTGTATCAAAATTTTGGCATTACAGTGAGGCTGATCAAACATTGAATCAAGTGCAATTTGTTTATGCACTTTACTACACACAAAAAAGTAACAATCTTTTCTTGGGTAACTTACCTTAAGCACAAATATTTCACCCGTCGTTCTATTAATTCTAAATTTGCTATTGTCTGCATTATCAGAATCCACTCCCTGGCCAGTCAAGAAGTAGACGATATTTTGAGGTCTGTCCTTATCAGCATCGGTGGCGTTTACCTGTAAATCAAAAACTTTGTTAAAAAAATATCGTCTCATAATAATTATTGTCCAGAGAAAAGTTTCAACAAAAGTTAAAATTATTATTGGAAGAGTTTCAAAGTTTAAATAGAAAACAAATCGTGTGGAAAATTGACTCGATATTGTAAAAATGAGTGTAAGAAGTAAAAAAGCGGATCGGCTCCCCATCGGGATTCCGGAATTGAATGAAAAAGAAAATTGAATTTTAAATTCGATTTAATGAGTTTTTTTTTTTGTTGCGCGATATTGAATGGAAATGGAAACTCTCGTAACATATTTCTAAATATGTAAATTGAAAAAAAAAAAAAAAAAATCCAAAAAGAAACATTTTTAGAAAAAATGTATACCATTTTTTGTATGTACCTATATAACCAAAATTACGTCTACAAATGGTTCGTTTCTGATTGAACAGTAAAAAATCTCGGAAAATGTTGATGAAATGCAATTTTTCACCTATTCAAGACAGAAAGAAGCACACTCAGAACAAAAGACCCTTTTCTTTATGCAAATTTGAACCAAAAATAAATCTCCGAACAAATACCTCTTTATAGCTATTTGCTCCAATTTATATATTAGAAGAGAAGTGAAAAATCGCGAAAAATGTCATTGAAATTAAATTTCACAACCACGTTCGACCAGTTTTCAATAGAAAAATCAAACACATTTAAATCAAATTTAAATGATTTTCTGTTTTTAAATGCAAATTTGAATCAAAAACACATCGCCGATAACTATTTATATAAACTTCAATTTAGAATATCCTATTGTTAAATGCGAATTTCAATCAACATATTTAAAAGGGCTCGATTTTTGTCGAAAAGAAGTGAAAAATGTTAAAATGCAATTTTACCCCTATTTAGTATAATATTTCTATTATAACATTGCAAATAATTATTCAGAAGTCATAAGTTTCTTATTTTATGCCACTTCGAATCTCAAATATTATTATTTATTTTTTAAATTAAAACTACTTATTCAGATTCGTGACACGAACAAATCTTGCCGCCTGAATATTTTTCCAGTTTTGATGACTGAAAGTTTTCCAGAGTCGTGCTTCGAATTGAATTCTATTTGAGTAAATATTTTGATGCATTTTTTTGGATTCAGTTTTTGATCTATTTTATCTGAGATATAAATTTTTGATAGACTATGGATAATAATTATTTGTGAGCTAATGGACCATAACTCATTTAGATGATCAATTTATATTTGCTGAGGGAGGTCCAGAAGGAAACGAAATAAATCCCTTTTAATTTATGTACGAATGCTAAAATTTAAGCAACTTGCATTTACGATATTTTCTATAAGGGGTAGTCAGTTTAATGCAGTTCAATAATTTATAAGCCAGATTGTAGAATAATAATGGTACTAGTTGGGTGATAGTAAGAAATATTCGTTAATAGTAAATGGAAGCAAGAAGTCCACTAAAATAGAGGATCAGAAAAGAATAAAGGCCTCACTTTATTGGAAATCTCGGAAAAGTAAAGGAGGAATTGAACAAACTAACAAAAAGACAGATGATCTGAAGAAACTGAGGAAGAGAAAGGCGACAAAAAGAAAAAACAAAAAAAAGAACTGAAAAGACGAAAATTTCGCGAAAATAAGAAGACAAACGACCGCCGCAACAGGATGAACTCCAAAGAGCTTTATTGGAAGTCAAACGACAGTTACAACCAAAAAAATAGGCACGGACTAGAAGGCAGACAACTTAAAAAAGAGAAGAAAGAAGAACAACCAATCCAGGAAGAAGAACAAAGACAAAAAAGTCTCACAGAATCCAGGGCTAGGACTGTAACGAAAAGAGATATTTTCTCTATATCTATTGACGTCCCCTCTCTATTGATTTCGAAGAGAGAGAAGAAGACAGCAAGTTTGATAGCGATAGGGATAACGATTCCTATCCGTTACATAGTCCCAGCCTAGAATATTAGACAAGAAATTGATTTCTCCAGTGACCAGAAGAAGTTCTAATTCACAATCGGGAATCGGTTATAGGGGCTGGAGTAGTCTTGAAAAATATCATAGAAAAACATTGGATACTGATTTTTATCGTAGTTTTCTACACACCGACTCAGGAGAGGAGTTTTGAGTCCGAATTAATTCATATTCTGATGAAATGGCCTTTTTCTTATCTGTTTTATGTAAATTCTAGGCATAGATTGTATTCCGAATTGCAGGATTGGAAGAGCAATGAAGATTCTTGCAGATTTAATCATTGATATGTGAATGATCTCCAATACAGACTCATGACAGAATTCAGATTTAATGAAGGCGTTGACATCTGGTTGATCAGCCATAGCTAAAAACCACACTTTTACAGAACAACCAAAATTTGATAGCCTCATGGCGAACCACCGCAAAGCAGCATTGCGATGATCAGTGATTATCGATGTTTGTGGAAGTGTGGTCTATTCAGAGCATCATTTTGGGGTTCTTCAGGAGAAAGCAAGGTGAATCCCAGATAGAGGATTCACTTATTATTCAGTGTCAGTGACATATTGTCAGAGTATCAGTCTCCTCGTATAGTTTGTCTCCAGTATCAGACTCAGAGTATCAGTAAACGTATCAATCTTAGACAGACAATTCAGGTATCAGTGTCAGTATCAGACAATTCTGTATCAATATTAGGCGAGGTGACCCCCACGTAGACGGTTCACGTCATTATCAGGGACATATTGTCAGAGTATCAGTCTGCTCGTGTAATTTGTTTCCAATATCAGTCTCAGAGTATCAGTAAACGTATCAATTCCAGGCAGACGGTTCACGTATCAGTGTCAGTATCAGGTAATTCCCGTATCAATATCAGGCAAAGTGACTACCACGCAGAGGGTTTACGTCAGTATCAGTGTGACATATTGTCAGAGTATTGTAACGACCGTTACTTTATTTTTACCTTTTTCGGGAACTTCCGTATTTTGCATCAGAAATTTGTCGTTGTTTTTCGAGCTTAAATGGTTAAATTATAACGCTATTATCAGTGGTTTTATTCTGTCGGGAAAGCATTGGTTTTCCCTGTGGAAATAATTTTCCTTTATACCATAACCGTCCGACTCGACAACGTGTCGAATGAATCTCGCGTGGTCTCGCGCGAACCCAGTCAATCTACAGCACCAGACACCACGCGCAACCCCACTCTTGCCTGCCGCCTGGCAGGCAGCATAGAAGCAGCTTAGCTCTTGAAACGAGCGGACAGTAAGAACCATTACCGATACCGACCCGAAACCAACCAGTCGAGCCCGAAAACCGATCCCGCTCACCTGGAGTCATTCAGGTGAGAACCGACCGACCGACCGACCGACCGCCGCCGCCGTCGCCGCCACCGCCGTCTTCAGCCGTCCCGACGCCGCTATTTGAGGATGCAGGTATTACCGTTTGCCCCCGTACCCCGCTAACCAGAACACGGGTTGAATGGTTCCACCTCCGGTCCCCGTTTACAGGGTGGAACTATTCTTTCCGTGTCGGGTTGTGAGAATCATCGTGCTGTGCTGTGGTTCCCGCGATGTTTCTCGCCAACCTTATTCGACCTCGACATCACATGGGCTGAATGGCATCACCACAGCGTCCCGTGTACAGGGTGTAGCTATTCTGCCCGTGCCAGGTTATGGGAACCATCGTGCTGTGTTTCGGTTCCGGCGATGTTTCTCATTGCTTTCTTTTCTCCGTTTAAAAACACGGACTGTATGGCGCCACCACACCGTCCCGTTTACAGGGTGGAGCCATACCTTCTGTGCCAAGCGGCAGGATCCATCGTGCTGGATCCCGGTTACGGCGATGCATCCTGGCGCTTTTCTCTCTCCGTGTCCGACAAAAGGGTACTTGCATCCTAGCCGAATTCATAACTCGCGCATGCGCTGTATCAGCATGGACAAACGACTTGAAAAGGGCGAGCGTATAATTAAACATGGTGTGTCCGGAGCCTTTCTCTCTTTCTTTCTAATTAAACCGATTGCTTGACTCATTGAAACCGTTGCTGTTTGCCGCTACCGTTGCTATTTGCCGCAACCGTTGCCGTTTGCCGCTACCGTTGCCGTTTGCCGTTACCGTTACCGTCCGAACATCTCTATTTCGCAAAGACCCGTAATCCACGCTTTTCTTCGTGCTCACTCGTTACACACTCTACTCCCCTTCTCTCTCTACCTGTCCGATAATTATTATTTAGCCAGAGATGTTATTAATTGGTTGCTCTGGTTTATTCCGTACCGTACCGATTTAAAGAGAATAAATTATGGATATTATTATTGTGAACCATCATCATGAGTTTTATTTCTGAACTGACTGCGCATTGACCCCTGGTTTTTCTTTCTCCACTGTAACAAGCTACCTGGTGCCCGTGGACCCTCGACCACGTTAATCCCGAGGGTGGCGCCCGAGAAAAGCGATGGAGAATTGACCGAAAAGTATTACCTGACCAATAAGCTTGCCACAGCTGACAAGCACCAAAGAAAACCCGTTACAGTATCAGTTTTCTCGTGTAGTTTGTCTCCAGTATCAGTAAACTAAACGTATCAATCCCAAGCAGACGGTTCACGTATCAGTTTCAGTATCAGGCAATTCACGTATCAATATCAGGCGAGGTGATCCCTACGTAGAGTGTTCACATCAGTATCAGTGACATATTGTCAGAGTATCAGTCTCCTCGTACGTCTCCAGAATCAGTCTCAGAGTATCAGTAAACGTGTCAATTCCCAGGCAGACGATTCACCTATCAGTGTCATTATCAGGCAATTCAAGTATCAATATCAGGCGAGGTGACTTCCACATAGTAGGTTCACTTTAGTATCAGTGACATATTGTCAAAGTATTAGTCTCCTCGTGTAGTTTGTTTCTAGTATCAGTTTCCGAGTATCAGTAAACGTATCAGTCCAAGGCAGACGATTCACGTATCAGTGTCAGTATCAGGCAATTTACGTATCAATATCAGACAAGGCGAATTCCACATAGAGGGTTCACGTCAGTATCAGTGACATATTTTCAGAGTATCAGTCCCCTCGTGTAGTTTCTCTCCAGTATCAGTTTCAAAGAATCAGTAAACGTATCAATCCCAAGCAGACGGTTCACGTATCAGGCAATTCACGTATCAATATCAGGCGAGGTGATTCCTACGTAGAGGGTTTACGTCAGTATCAGTGACATATTTTCAGAGTATCAGTCCCCTCGTGTAGATTCTCTCCAGTATCAGTTTCAGAGTATCTTTTTGTAAATTCTATTTTTGTATCTGGCATCAATAAAGATTTTTATTTATTTTTTGTATGTGAAATATTTTCAGAGTATCACTCTGCTCATGTAGTTTGTCTCCAATATCAGTCTCAGAGTATAAGTAAACGTATCAATCCCAGGCAGACGGTTCACGTATCAATGTCAGTATCGAACAATTCACGTATCAGTATCAGGCGAGGTGACTCCCATAAAGGACTATTCACACACACATCAGTTCCGTATCAGTGTCATGTCAGTTCAGTATCAGTCGCAGTGCAAAATAAAATATCGTTGCCTAGTCTCAAATGAACCTGTTTAGACAAGTCCGGCACAGTGACGTTTTTTACCATCAGTGCTGCGTCAGTGTCAGTTCCGTGTTTTTTTATTAAAGTCGGCAACGATATTTTGTGTATTTCACTGACGGAAATCGATTGGAATTTGCGTTTGATCTCTGAATTCTGAAATTTCACTGAAAGCATGGTACGGAGTACAGACGGATGTGTGTGAATTGTCACCACTGATAAAGCTCGGATAGCACTGATACTGAACTGACGCAGCACTGCTACGAAACTGATGTGTGTGAATAGTCCTTAAAGAGGGTTCACATCAGTATCAGTGACGTATTATCAGACTATTAGTCTCCTCGTGTAGTTTGTCTCCAGTATCAGTCTCAGAGTATCAGTAAACGTATCAATCCCAGGCAGACGGTTCACGTATTATTCTCAATATCATGCAATTCACGTATCAATATCAGGCGAGGTGACCCCAACGTAGAGGGTTCAATTTTTTTAATAATATACATGCTCAAGAAAACATTGAGTATAGGAAGTATCTTTTAACTTTGTGAGGAACAGAATTGATAATTTGAACAACAAAAAGTGGCCTGTCTGTTCGCTTATTAAAAACAGTTGAAAATTTGTGCCGTTGACAAAGTTGATTATAACTGCTTTAGAGAATGTGTGTTTCCAAAAGTATTTAAGAGAGCTTTAGTAACTCCCATTTATAAAAAAGGAGAAGTTGCTGACGTGTCGAACTATCGTCGAATTTTGTTGCTGCCCGTTCTCTCAAAGGTGATTGAAAAATGCATGGCCATTAAGATAACATCCTACTTCGAAAATAATAATCTCTTCTCTAATAGTCAATATGGCTCCAGGAAGGGAAGGAGCACGGTGCATGCTGTGCTTGACCTCCTCTCAGACACAATGGATACCTTCGAAGATCGTGATTATGGCCTGGGCTTATTCTGTGATCTGAGCAAGGCCTTTGACTGTGTCACCCGCGGTCTGCTTCTTGACAAACTTAGGTACTACAACTTTACTGACAATAGCGTAAGACTCATTAAATCTTATCTTTTCGGTCGTAGCCAGATTGTGAGGGTCGGCTTAGTGTCATCAGCGGAAGGAAAGATTGACGTGGGAGTGCCACAGGGCTCTGTTTTGCTACGGGGCGGCAGATTGGAGGATGTTGAGGAGGGGGCTGTGGTGGCTCAGTCAAGGACTCAAGATTGGTTCAATGCCAACAGACTTATGCTGAATCGGAGCAAGACCCATAAGATGATATTTTCACTGAGGGATACAAATAACAGTCCCAATTCAACTGAGGTGAAATTCTTGGGAATTTATCTGGATCCTAAGTTAAGATGGAATGTCCAGGTTGAGAGGGTGTTGGGTAGGCTAAGTATGTATCTTTCTGCTTCGTAACCTGTATGGCTCTGTGTCGAAACAGACCCTCAAACGTATCAATCCCAGGTAGAAGGTACACGTGTCAGTGTCAGTATCAGGCGATTCACGTATCAATATCAGGCTAGGTGGCCCCCACGTAGAGGGTTCACGTTAGTATCAGTGACATATTGTCAGAGTATCAGTGTCCTCGTGTTATTTGTCTCCAGTATCAGTCTCAGAGTATCAGTAAACGTATCAATCCCAGGTAGACGGTACCCGTGTCAGTGTCAGTATCAGGCAATTCACGTATCAATATCAGGCGAGGTGACTCCCACGTAGAGGGTTCACGTCAGTATCAGTGTGACATATTGTCAAAGTATGTCTCCTCGTGTAGTTTGTCTTCAGTATCAATCTCAGAGTATCAGCAAACGTATCAATCCCAGGCGAACGGTTCACGTATCAGTGTCAGTATCGGTCAATTCACGTATCCATATTGTCAGAGTATCAGTCTCCTCGTGTAGTTTGTCTCCGCTATCAGTCTCAGAGTATCAGTAAACGTATCAATCTCAGGCAAACGGTTTACGTATCAGTGTCAGTATCAGGCAAATCACGTATCAATATCAGGCGAGGTGACTCCCACGTAGAGGGTTAACTTCGGTATCAGTGTGACATATTATTAAGGTATCAGACTCCTCGTGTAGTTTGTCTTCAGTATCAGTCTCAGAGTTTCAATAAACGTATCAATCCCAGGCAGACGGTTCACACATCATTGTCAGTATCAAGCAATTCACGTATCAATTTCAGGCAAGGTGAATCCCACGTAGAGGTTTCACGCCAGTGCCAGGGACATATTGTCAGAGTATCAGTCTCCTTGTGTAGTTTGTCTCGGTATCATTCTCAGAGTACATATCAGTACAGCTGAAGACAAAATGATAAATACAAGATACAAGAGACAGATACAAAATATCAAAAATTAGAAATTTGGTATCCTGGCCTGGCAAGTAAATTGTATTCTGTATCCATTTACTTATAGCATTGATACACGTGTTATTATATTTTTGTCTCTTGTCACTTGTATCCTGTATTTTTTATTGTGTCTTCAGTCTAAACTCTAAATGTATCAATCCCTGGCAGACAGTTCACCAGCGTCAGTATCAGGCAATAGTGAATCCCAGGTAGATTCACGTCAGTGTCAGAGTATCAGTTAAATTGCACCAGATCAGTGACTCAGAGAAACAGTTATCAGGTCAATCATGGTAACTACATCAGGAAAACCAGTGTCCCATCTCAGTCATGGTTGCCACATCAGGGAAACCAAAGTCCCATCTCAGTCATAAATAAAGTAACTTGCGAAACTGGACTTCCATGAAAGTTCCCATCTCCAAGAATATCATTCAAGTATTGGAAATTTTGATATCTCCCTTCCCATGTCCCCAGAATAACTACATTCAATTGATTAAAAGTAAATTTATAGGAATTAGATCTGATTATTATAAAAGCTTGAATTCCTTTTAGAGGGTCCCATACCAAGTGCAAAGTTGTTGCAGATGAATTTGAAATGATATGGCAACCTAGTTTTGATGAAGATTGATCTAAATATTGTTACCTACCAATGTCTCAATCCCAATCGATGACATAAATGGAATATTCAAAAAAAAAAAATTGTTAAAGTAAAGGTTTCAGCTTTGAGCATGAATATTGAATTCTTAAAAAACTGCAAATTCTTATTTTTTCATTTTATATTTATGGTGACATTGTTTTTGATTTTTTCTTTTAAACACTCACTTTTAGAACAAGTTTTGGCAAATTCCGGTCGTCCTCTTCAGTGATTTGCGTCCGGTAGGTTGTCTTCTCGAACACAGGTGGATTGTCGTTCACATCTTTCACGTTGATCACCACCGTGGTGGAATTCTCTCTCGTATTGCTTGATGCAGATACTTTCAGTTCATACTGTTTAAAAAAAAAAAGGTAAACTTGTTATTTTTTAAGTACAAAAATTTGAACTTGAACAACAACAAAGTAACATCAAACTAAGATTTGGTATACTAAGAAAATGTTTAGCTGTTACTTTTAGGCAAAGGCGATTTCATTAGTGTCGCCTTTCGTTGAAATTATAAGGAATTTGCGTCACAAAAAAAAAGGAAGATACCAAAATATAATTCACTTACTGTGAGAAATGAAAAATACAGAAATGTAATGCAGTTAGAAATTTTTTAAAACTTGGGTAATATAAATATAGTATCATAATTAGAATTTCTACTATTATATATTAATATATTTCTTAAAGATATAAACATTTTCCGAAAGATGGTCGGCCTTTTAAAGACACTTACCCTATTAATTGTTTCATAATCCAATGCTTTAGCTACGTAGATGGCACCGGTTTTATTATTAACAGCAAATGCGCCGTCTATGTTGCCACCTGTGATTATATACCGAATAGAGGAAGCTGAAACAGATTTAAAAAAATTGCAATATAATAGATAGTCGAATGCTTCAATATTGGCACATTTTACTGCCAAAGAAACTGTAAAATGGGTGAAATTTGATTTTAAAAGAAGGAAATCGTCTTCCTTCAGGATTTTATAGTTTAGGTGATAAGCTCCAAATCTATTTGGAACAGTAACGCAAAACTTTTCAAGAAGCAATAAAAGCGAGATTGATTTCTGACGGTATAAACCAAGTATTAAATCTTCAAGATTAAACTATAAATTTTAAAATAACAACCGCCAGATTCAATAAAAAAAAAATGTACGGGCGGAAACAGCAGGGCGCCCGCTTAATTTCTTCCGGGCCTTTTAGGAAATAAATTGAACGAAGGTGAGCACTTATTAGAAAATCGAGAGAAAATTAAAATCCTTAATAGAATTTATGACCGCCGAATTCCTCCAATTTTCTCGCTCTTGTAGAAGAAAAGACGGAAGAAATATTTATAAATACCTACCACTTGTAACTTTCCAATTCAGGTGTCTTATAAACCCCGATGCGCATTAACTTCCGCGTTAACACGTGTGTTGGTCAAAAGGACCAAGCATTGATAAAAACAGTAATTACGCCACTGGTGCAAGGGTGGCAGTCTTGTCCATCCAAGACGGCCTGATGCAGGTTTTCCACTACCTATTGGCCCAACAATATTTTGGTTTTTTATTGAAGTATAGTTCGTTGTTTTTAAAGTAGGTGGTTTTGACCAGGCGCTTGAAACTGAGTATCTAAAATATTTTTTGTTCAAAATCGGCATTGTCGGTAACTGTTCTGCATAAATTCCCTCTGATATTATTATGAATTCTAGGCACTAAAGAGCTTTTACAATAATTCATAAAGTCTGTTTTTTGTTTTTAAGAGATAACCCCATGTCAAAAATTCAGTAACTATGTTGGCTGTGATGTTGGCAACACAAGCCTTTTCTACGTAAAAAATTTGAAAGCATTGACAATTTTACATTGTATTGCCAACATAATGTCATTTTGACTTTTTTCTTTAATAAAATAACAGATTTTATTTCCTACTGAACTATTATAACCATATAATACCTTGGTTATGATAATCATAAACAGGGTCTTAACTCCCAAGGGAGTTAAGGATATCATAACTCCCAAGGGAGCTAAGGATTTCGATAACTCCCGCCTTGAATAGGTGAAACTTCGACAAAAAATAGAAATTTTGGTTTATGGTTTATTTCTTTATAAAAATGGACAAAACGCAGTAAATTCAGTAGGAAATAAAATTATCTATGTACCACGGGAATTATCAGGTGTTAATACCCACGGGCAATTGGTGTCCCTCAGGCCAAACTTTGCCCTGGGGTATTAACACCCTCATAATTCCCTTGATACATAAATAACTATTATATCCTACTGAACTATTAAAACCATATAATACCTTGGTTACGATAATCATAAACAGGGTCTTAACTCCCAAGGGAGTTAAGGATTTTCATAACTCCCAAGCGAGTTAAGGAAGGGAGTTAAGGATATCATAACTCCCAAGGGAGTTAAGGATTTCCATAACTCCCGCTTTTACCTTGAAGAGGTAACACTTTGACAAAAAATAGAAATTTTGATTTATGGCTTATTCCTTTATAAAAATAGACAGAATACAGTAAATTCAGTAGGATATAAAAGTATTTATGTACCACGGGAATTATCAGGAGTTAATACCCACGGGCAATTGGTGTCCCTCGGGCCGGAGGCCCTCGGGACACAAACGTTGCCCTGGGGTATTAACACCCGCATAATTCCCTTGATACATAAATAACTATTTTTTAACACAGTTTATGAATGGAGAAAATTTTTGACACAAATGTGAAAAATGACATCTCGCAAGTATCTGCCATTTTCTGCTTCGCAAAGTCGTGCTGTTTCCGACACAGCGTTGCATGACTTTTTGCAAAATTTCAGGAGTTATGACACGGATCTCATTACGTGGTCTTCTGGCACCACGGAGGTTCCTTACTGAAATTTATTGCTGAAAATTTGCAACAAGACGATTTATTGTTGGCAAGGAGGGTCCAACACGCACATTAAAATACCGACGATATGCACGCTGCGTAAGAACAATTATTGAGTTTCCATTGGCAAAGTAAAATTTAATGATTTTTGTTTGTTGTTGTATTGTGTATTGCTCCATTTTAAATTCCCCAAGTTTTCTTTACAAAATTCTAAAATGAAAGAGGAATTAAAAGTTTTAATAAAAAAGTTATAAAACAATCAAATCATAACGTTCATTTTGCGCCACCCTCTATAATAATTTTGAAATTCTCGACGAAATTGCAAAGAAAGCTGAAAAGGCAACGCAAAACCTGTTACTGAGAAAATCCAGACATTCATACGACAAAGAATATGTGACCAATTTTTGAAGTGGATGATAGAAAATTCTGTAGAAAACATTAACGAAACTGTGCTGTTGGGGTACTTTCATGATCTATCCGAAAAATTTTCCCCGAGCTCTCTGTGGGCTAAATATTCGATGATAAAGAAGACTTTAATGGTAAATAAGAATATTAATTTTTGTAAGTATTTCAAATTATGCGAAAATTAAAAGCAAACGTCAAAAGGGTACCAACCAAAAAAATCCAGTGTGTTAAATAGAGAAAATGTCCTAAAATTTATTCATGAGGCACCAAATGAAACGTTTTCAATGAATAAGGTCGCATTATTATTTGGTGTATTTGGTGGATGTCGGCGGCAAAAACTTGTAAATATGTTAGTCACACATGTAGAAGATTAACCAAAAATGACAAAAAACGAGTTTTCACCATTGTTGATGGAGACAAAATGAAGACTTACAAGAGATTATATTATTTCTTTGCGACCACATGGCTGCTCAGAAAAAAGACTATTTTTAAGCTACAGACAAGGCAGCTGTACTGTACAACCTGTTGGAAAAACACATTTGGGAAAATTCTTTGTATTATTGTGAAATATTTGGGTTTGAACAACCCCGAAAAGTACACTGGTCATTGTTTACGTCGAACGTCGGTAACTCTTTTACCAGAAGTTGGAGCAAGTATGACTACGCTGAAGCGCCATGGTGGAAGACAACAGCATATCCTCAAAAAATGAGGATGCTGGCAGGCGTACCATCTGGATTTCGCATTTTCTCGCAGAAATAAGAGACCCAGACAATGAATCATGAGTCAACCTTTAGTGCTATCAGGGGAACCTTTCAGAATTGCCAATTCTATGTAAATACAACCAAATATTATATAAACGTAAATTTCTATTTTGTTAATAAGAATAAAAATGGTTTTCGTTTAAACCGTCAAAATCATTAGACCAGAGCCAGTACTGGGAAGAGCGCTGCATACGGTTAACTTCACAATCTCGACATGGACCAAAAGAGGCCAAACAATATTGGTCGAGACTACCAGGCATGAACCATGCAAAATCCTTTGTACCCTGTCCAAAAGGAGGGAAAGTGGCAGACATACTTCTGGGAATGGGGAGGAAGAGCCTCAAAGCACTGATGAGTTTGTACATTGCACACTGCAGACTCCGTTATCACATGCACAGAATCGGAATAGCACAAGCTACCGAGTGTCGCCTATGCATATGGAAGAGGACGAAACTGTAGAACATGTCCCATGCACGTGTCCGGCAATAGCCAGAATCAGCTCTTCGGACCAAATACATAAAGCATTTTTTTTTTTTTACGGATATGCTCACTCGCAAGGAAATGTCCTATCACGCTCGAGAAGCGGCAAGTGCGCGGAAATGTCGGTGTATGTTGGTCTTGAAACGGTTCAGGTTGTAACCTGCAGGGAAAACCGTCGCAGGGAGTTTATTCCACAGCGATGCTGTTCTCCAGAGATATGAATTCTGATATAATGAGGTTCTTGGTGCCTCTAGTTTGACAGTAAATTCATGGTTACCGTCTGTTTGACGGGTTCGCCTGGTAGGTGCTACTCTCGGTGGAATCATACGTGCCAACTCTTCAGAGCATTTTCTGTAGAAGAGAGATAAATCGCCCACAGATCTGCGGTGTTCGAGACCATCCAAGTTACGAGTAAGTGCGGGGTCATTGATCAGCTTGATAGCTCGTTTTTGCACGGTATTCAAAAGCATTAAGGTATGTTTGGGTGCTGCACTCCATATATGTGAGCAGTACTCCATAGTTGGTCGAATCTAGGCTTTGTAGAGTGTCAGCAATTGGCTTGGTTTGTACAGATGTCTTGTACGAAATAGCACCCCCAGCTTTTGGGACGCCCTTTTAGCAATATCTGCCACGTGACTGTGCCAAGACATGTTGGTCTCTTGAGTAACCCCAAGATGTTCAACTGACTCTGTAATGTGACAGCACTTCCAGATAGCATGATGTTTGGCTCACCGGTGCTTGTCTTTTTTGAAAACAGAGCTGCTTGGGTTTTCTGCGCGTTGAACTGTACAAGGTTTTTGTACCCCAGTCCTTTATTATCTCCAGGTCGTTATTTATCTGCGATATTTGAGTTAGTCTAAGATGATGGAATTCACGTGCGGAAAGACCTGTGGGTGGTATGAGTGAGGAGACTACATTGCCATCGTCTGCAAAGCAATAAAGTGGATTTACTGTTTTATCTATGAGGTCATTTATGTAAATCAGGAAAAGAGTTGGCGAAAGGATTGCTCCCTGTGGCACACCGGCATTTATTTGGTAAGAGTTGGAGTTCTGGCCATCCAGTGCAACATAAATGGATCTGTCCTTTAGGTAACTTTCAAACCAAGTGCAAAGTTTCGGCGATAATCCCATTGCTTTGAGCTTGTTGAGCAGATTTTCATGCCAAACTTTGTCGAATGCTTTAGATTTATCTAAGGCAATTGTTCTTGTTTCACCCCGCAACTCAATCGCTTTTTGCCATAAGTGAGTGACGTATGTAAGTAAATCGCCAGTTGACCTATATTTTCGAAATCTGTATTGCTTATCGTTGATAATTTTGTACTTTTCCAAGTACTTGGTTAGGAGATTGTTCACAAC